TTTTTTTTTTTTTTGTCTCTCTACTTTAAAAAGGCCCCTTTTTTGTCCCTCTATTTTGGGATTTTCGTTAAGATAACATGCCACGCAAGAAAAAAATAATGGAGATACTAAAAAGGAGCTCGATTTTAAACTTTAGAGACCAAAAATGGGTTTTCTTAAGTAGAAGGACTAAAAAGGGACTTTCTATTAAAGTAAATGGACCAAAAAGGGGTTTTAACCAAATGAAATGTCTATGAATAAGAAAAAATTGAAATTTTTTTGAAATAAAAATTTTATTTACACTGAAGAGATTGGAAGAATAGGTCTTCAAATACAAATTTTGCCTCCAGAAGCATAGATCTAATTTAGTTTTTAGGTGAAAGCAAACAAAATCTAATGACCATGGGAATGAAGAATCCAACACTGGCTAAGCATAGGTGTGTTTCAAACCAAAGGGTATCCATATCATTTTCCATATATTTATATTGATTTAATAAAAGTAGCCCTAGTTTTTTTTTTTTTTGAATATATTTTGCAAGGGGTGGGTTTTGAACCCTGCCTGGGGGGGAGGGAATGCACCGGTGACTAATGCCACTAGGCCTCAAGGGCCAGGTGCAAGTAGCCCTAGTTTTGATTTGATAAAAGACCAAAAAATTAAGATATTTAAATGGTTATTCTTTCTCATGAGAGTTGTGGAATATTTAAAATATCCCCCATATTTAATTGATTTCTTGAATTCAGCACATCTTTGGACAAACTATGGTGATCTATCCCATCTCTTTTAAATGGATGGTGACTCTTGAGAATAACTCTTTGAATTCATTCCATTCTCGATCATCAACAAAATGGTATCAATATAAGTTTTAGAATTAATTGTTACAAAACAAAGTTTGAGGACTAAACCATCACCTCTGTATATATATGTTTTTATTCTTAATGAAAGGAACATGACCATATTGTCATGAGATATTATTTGTATATCATCATTACATTTTGTTGTGCAGTTGCAATAAAGAATCATTTTCAAAAGACCTTTGGTAATTTTGCAATCCATCCTTCCTTGTCGATGTAAGAATTATCCACAAAAGATTGAAGATCATGATCACTAAGTTTTTTCATCCATTTCACTCGAGCTCCAGTGTTTGCCCCAGCTCCTACGTTATCTGCCTCCACATACGTCAACTTATCTCTATAACCAATAAACTTTGTTAAGAAATAGAAAAGGTAACTTAGTCTAATTCATGTTAAAAACCATAAATTAGGAGATACGTCAAGCTAATTAATTAAATATATATGAAGAAATACTATGTATCTTACACGTCGTTTGTATAACGCCAAGCATCCCATCCTGCAGGTAATACAAAATCCGTGAGGTTGGACTTGTTTATGATCACTCTAGAGTACAATCCATAAGCTCTCCCAAGATTAGCTTTCCCAACTCCCTCAAATTTGCAGTTTTTGAACACAAAGCCACTAGGATCATTTGGCGAATTCCTCCCCTGTGCTGTTATGACACCAAAGGCCTTTTCTTTCGCATATGTTCCTACGTTAAGACTTATTACACAGCCCTGTAGAAGATATCAACACTATATTAACCTAATTTCTCATAATGAGCTGACAAACGTCGTAATTTCTTATAGGAAAAGGGGTTGTTTTAGGGTACCTCGTAGATAGACTGTGCTGAACCCCAAATAAAGTCTATTGCACCTTCGATATAACATTTGTGGTAATAATGTCGCCCTATTGTGTCCCATAAGGTGTCTTGAAGTCCAACAAAAGCACAGTGATAGAAAGCTGATTTATCCCCATATATTCTTGCAGCTAAAGCAGGGACCATAGGAGTGTCGCCTCTCGGTATATTATATGTATTCTAATATCAATGGAAAATTTTAAGAGAAAAATATTTTGAGAAAATGAACTAAAACATCAAAAAGAAAATGAGGTATGAATGCATGTTCAAATAATTAATTTCAGCACTAGATGAGTGAGACTTTGGGTGGGTCTCCTCATCGAGGGGCTGATATTGTGTTGTTTTGACTAGTCTTGATTAGAAAACTTTTCTCCCTATATATACCCACACATTACCTTGAATGTAATGCCTTTTGCAACAATGTTTTCAGGATATGAAGTGAAAGTTGCACTAGTATCAGTATTAGCATGAGCATTCCATTCAACATCAGTCTTCAGAGGTCCAGCTCCCTCAAGAAAAATGCATGGTTTGTTCGGAGGGATTGTCACTTGCTCTCTAGACCAAACCACCCAAATAAAACAAAAGTTACCTTTTAAATAAATAATAAAAAAAATCTAGAATTTTAGAATGTAATTAGCAGTAAAATATTGATTGACACATATTTTGATTTAACACATTATAAAATAATTTCATTAAAAAATTATTATTTTTTGTTTAAATTAAAGAAAAACAAATTTATAAATGCAATTATACACATAGAATATATTAACTAACTGAATTAATTGTATTTATACTATATTTTTAACGACTAAGCTAAATGAGTTTCAAAATATATGTCGAATCGAGTGTCTAATAATAATTTTCCTTAACACTAAATATGTACGTGTGTGCACGATGAAAATTTAAGTTGAAGCAATTATTTGAATTACAAATATTTTCCGGCAAAAATGGAGATACGAATCCACTTCTTATTATTGAAAGGAATGGAATCAATAGCACTTTGAATGGTTTTGAAGTTGCCCTTGCCGGATTGATCCACCACGATTGTAAATGCAACCCTGTAAGGATCTTTGAGATTTAATTCACATTCAAATGCTTGAATGCATATAGCAAAAGAAAGAGTAAAAGCAAATGCAAGTGTCTTAAGACACTTCATTTTTCTTTTCTTAGTTTATATTGGGTATTACCTTCGGCTAATGTTTCAATTTATAAAAAGGGGGAATAAATGGGTGATTTTCATTCCATATAGAAGAGAATCAATAAAATCTTGGGATTTATCAATTTAGCTTATATTGAATGTTTTGTTTATGGGGTGATTTTCAAAGATTCATTGAGAATGTTGTAGATATTGTCATTAACTATAATGGAACATTAGCTTTGATTTACAATGGCTTAACATCACCACAAATTCCTAAACTTTATAAAAAGAGTCATTGTCATCCCTGTATAGAAAAAAAAAATTATAATAAGGGTCCTTTTAAGGACACATGTTAAAAAAAGCAATTAATATATTTTTATCATTAAATCACATAGAAAAAAATAAAGTTTACCTTTAATTTTAACAACTAATCAATTAAATTAAGACATTTGACATTAATGTTAAAATTAATATCAACTTTTTTTATTTTTTATTTTACATATATTAATGGCTAAAAAATGTATTAACTACACTTTTAAGGAGGTTAGAAAAATCCTTATAATAATCCGTAAACTTTGGTAAAGAGGCCAACTGTGATCTCTCCCTTAACATCTATTAATAAAAGTGCTGCCATAGCACTAACGGTGTTAGCAAAATGCTAACATGGCATTAACACTATTATATAGTATTGGAAATGGATTTTTTACCTTATTTACATAATCAGGATTAAAGTGTAAAATTGTAAATGATATTTTAAGAATTACTTAAATTTATTTAATTATTAATTTTAATCCATTAAACTAATGATTAATAAAGGTTATAATTGTCACACCTCAGAACCCAAATCCAAG